CACCTACAGTTTGCTGATGACACGATTCTATTTTGTGAAGGCGGTAATGTGAGCTTGATCAGGAACTTGAAGTTGGTGATACAACTGTTTGAGCAAATGTYTAACTTGAAGGTTAACCTCGGGAAAAGTTGTATAGTGGGGGTGAACCTGGAGGAGGGAGAGCTCAGGGAGTTGAACTACTTAAGGTTGCCATTAGGTGATAATCCCATGCGAGAGAGCTTTTGGAACACGGTGGTGGAAAGGTTTGAAAAAAGACTGGTATCCTGGAAAAAGAATTACCTCTCTCTCGATGGAAGAATTACACTAATAAAGGCCACGCTTGCTAACTTACCCATCTTTTTCCTATCGGTGTTTAAAATCCCAGTGAAGGTCGCTAACAGATTAGAGAAGTTTATGAGAGATTTCCTGTGGGAGCCAGGAGAGGAGAAGAGGGATCACAGAGTTAGCTGGGAGATAGTGTGTAGGAGTAAGCCTTGTGGTGGCGTGGGGCTTGGGAGTATCAGGAGAAAGAATATGACTTTGTTGGGGAAGTGGTTGTGGAGGTTCCCTATGGAGAAGGAGAAGCTATGGGCTAAAATAGTGGCAAGTATACATGGGCTAGAGGACAATGGATGGAACGTTGGAATCAGAGCTACGACCACAAGCAACTCTCCTTGGAAAGCCATTCATGACCTGCTACCAGTTTTCTCCCCTAATATCAGGTATGACTTGAATTCCGGTAATTCCATAAAATTTTGGGAACAAACCTAGGTGGGGAGCACCCCTTTAAAGGATCAATTTCCTTCTTTGTATGCTCTATCTAATTTGAAAAATGAGTTGATCTCGTCTTTCATCACCCCGTCCTCTTCCACTTCCGGGATTGGGTGGAACTTGGGTTTAAGAAGGGATTTGAGGGACTCAGACCTTGACAGTATTTCGAGCCTTATTGCACTTCTTGATAATGTTGTCTTAGACCCCACTAGGGAGGACTCTAGAATTTGGACACCTACCCCCAATGGCATCTTCTCTTGTGCCTCGTTCTTC